CTACAGTAAGAGATTTATTTTCTTATTTCCCAAATCTTATGGCTTTTTCTTGCATTATTACAGTGGCTACAACCTCCAGGATAATAATGATTAGAAATGGTGATCACAGGCCTCATTGTCTTGTTCCCAATTTGATAAACTAAACTTGTAAATATTTTTATTTCAATAGATATATTTTAATTATAGAAAAAAATCTCCATAATAAAAAAAATAATATTAAATTTTACCATTTTAAGTTATAAAATTCAAAAAAATATACGAAAATTATTGGAATTAATAAACTGAAATATTTATGTGAGGTAAATAAAAAGCATAGTGTTTTCTAATTGTTTTTTTTACTTAGTAGTATTTATAGACATCTCTTCACATCAGTATTTACCGAACTTTTCATTTCTCTGATGTTGAACATTTATTTTGTTTTCAATTTTTCACCAATTTTGAAATATTTTCATAAATATAAGATGTATATTTCTGTGTATTTGTCAATATTGATCTCCTTGTCAATTTTGGTAATTTATATTTTCTAGAAAACCATTTTATATATTGTTTAAAATATATCGTCACTGATTTACACATGATAATCTCTTAATTCCACTTTTTCTTCCTTTATTCATTACTTTACAAAGCACTCCGTGCACACAATATAAAAATGAAGTAGTTGTATAGTAATGGTTACAAGTAGTATTCCCCTTCCTCACCGTAATGTGTAGAATCGATAAACAATGTGGATTTTCCATTTAATAGGCTTTATGTGTCTCAAGTAGCATTATTAAAAGTCAGTGCATTCTTTGACATGTTCTATAAGACTAAAGGCCACTAAAGGCAGAGGGAATGTCGGATAAACCGCCCCCCAAAAGGAAACCCCCATATTAAGATACAGCCTATGACACTCAGCCTGATAGAAAACTTCTTAACAATACAGGCTAAAACGACAGAGCCTTGGAAGTGCTAGAGGAGTGTAACTGTCAACCTGGAGTGTTCTAGTCAAACTACCCATCATGCCCTAGTAAAGGTACCTATTAGGCAATTATTACTGATACACAAACTAGGACCACATATCATTTAGGAGTATGTAGTCACCAGGAATATGCAACAGATAGTAACTTGTATCCACCTAACAACATATTTAATACAAACAAACAAAACTCACTGAATTATACAGAGACATTGGAAATTGCACAGCATACTTCTCATAACTTTTTATGATACATAGTTTAAACACATAAGTTAGTATGATTTGAAACATGCAATCATTAAGCAGCCTCCAGTTAGAATCTGCACATTCTGGTCAAGTAAATATGAAAATATGTAAACAAGAACATGCTAGACCAGCTGTCAGTGAATTCAGACAATCGCTGTCTTTTATACTCCGTGTCCTGACCTAGTGGAATAGAAATATAAACCTACAGCAAGAAAGTAACAAAGACCCCCTCCAGTTTGAGAATTCAAAAGACAGGATTCATAGCTTAATAGGAAATTTATAACCCTAAACACATGTATTGGAAAAAGAAGATAACTTGAAAATCAAGAAGTTGAGCTTCCAGCTGATAGAATTTAGAAAATAATATCAGAGTAAATTCGAGGAAGTGGACGTGGGAAAACAGCCCGTATAGTAAAAAAATTAAAGAAACAACATAGAGAACTAACCAATCCACAAACTGATTTTTGAAAGAAATGTCATTGAATTGACAGATAACTGACATGATTTATTAAGATAAAATGTGGATGGCTCAAATAATTGATATTAGAAATGGAACTAGAGATATATCCATATAATAGATTTTATTTTTATTAGAAAATTGAAGAAAATAAAACATTACATTATACCAATATATTGGAAAAATCTTCAAGTCCAAAGAAAAAACTAAAAGAATGGTCCAAAACATTAAATAAGGCTAAAATTACTTGTCAAAAGATAAGTAAAGTTTAAGAAATCAAAATTATGGGGGAGGAGGGTTGTCACTTTGTGAGGTAAAAAGTATAACTATTGCACTGCATTGTACACCTGAAACTAATTAAAAATAAAATAAAATTTTAAAGAAAAGAAATAAAAATTAAGAGCTGAACTCTGTGATTCATCCCATTTCTATATTAAGAATAAAATAACAATATGGTCATCTAAATAGACATAGAAAAACCAACTTAGTAGAATTTAATACATTTCCCGATCAACACTATAGTAAAACAGAAACCCTCCTAGCATACATAGTAAGTAGCAGGTTTTTCTGAAAATGATAATGACTATGTAACAAGATCTTCCGGCAAGAATAAAATATAAACTAGAAACAATAGTAAAAGATGACCAGCTCCTGGCAAAGTGGGCAAACGTGTGCTCAGGTAATTCGGAGTCCATGGCCCTCTTCTCTTTCCTCCTGTATAACCTTTAATGACATCCTGTCCAGGGCTTCGAAAAACGCTGATGTGCCGGGGACACCGCCCTTGGTTATTTCCACCCGGACTCCTCTGCAGAACCCTCTGCGTGATGGCCGATGTGGACGTCTTGACACCGTGGGTCCCACACAGAAGCTTCGGCCTTCCCCGTGTCACAGACAGGCTCACTGGCACCCTTTGTCACTCAGCTGACAACAGCCACAGCCTCTAGTTTCTTAGGCAACAGCTGGGAAGTGCCGTGCGCCCTCTATCTCGCAGGCCCTCGCCAGCCCGGCCTCCTCTGCCGTCAGAGCCTGCCCAGCCTGTGGCGCCTCTGGGCGCCCGCCGCCCAGCTCCCCGAGCAGCAGGCCCCTCCTGCCTGCGTCCCTCGAGAGGCAATTCCTGATTCCACGTTCCCCTCTGCAGTCCGTTGTCAACACAACAAGCAGAGTCGGGGTTTTTTGGTTTTGTTTTTTTAAATCGTAGGTGAGATAAGTGCTTCATTAAAAATGACACATTCGTATATCACCCAGCCTAAAGCTATCTTTAAAATAACCTTCAAAGCCCTGTGTGTTTTTCCTCCTCCCCAGACCCATTATTTCCCGGATCACAGCTCTTACGTCCCCATCCCACCCTCTCTGCCTCAGGGACACTGGGTCCTGATGGAACAGAACAAACTGCCCGTCTCCGTCAAGTCTGCTCAGACCTCCCCTCACCCACGTGGGTTGTCAGTTAGCCTCCCTGCCCATCTAATACTTCAGTCTCCCCGACCCCAGCCTCGGCACAGCCTGCGCCTTCGCTCCGTGCTGCTGCTGTCTTTCTCCAGCTGCACGTCCCTCCTCCTAGCACGCTGTCGCCTTTAGCTGTGTGTTATGCCGGAGGCTGATGCCGTTTCCTCCCCTTGCCATGTGGGCTCCGGGAACACAGGTTCTTTGTTTAGTCCACTGAGGTACCCAAAGTCCCCCCATAGTGCCGGGTACACAGTCGGTGCTCAATAAATAGTTGTTGAATTGTTGAACTATTGAAGGGGGTTGCCTTAGAGACACAAAAAGATGTCCCACCTCACAGAGTCAGGGAAATGCAGTTTAAACAAGGCACCATCCCACACAACCAGTTCTCCCTCCTCACGACCGTTGAAGTGTGGTAATATCAGGTACTGGTAGGTATCCGACAAGACAGAGGCATTTTCGTGTGCTGCTGAGACACAGCGAGTCGTCACAGTCACTTGGGAGACCAACTAGGCCGTTTCCCTTTTGGAGCCTGGGGTCCCTAGGGTGGGCCCCCCGAGATGTGTGCTGCAGCACGGCGTGTCATCGTAAAACCTAGGGACTATCTGTTAGAGAAGTGCTGGCACGTGTTTCTCAAGTGAATTAACAAAACCCATGTCTCTCAGTACGAGGAGACCCACGTGATGCCAGATGTAAAAAGCAACTTGAACATGATACAAGCATATACAGGGCAAAATGACATCGATGATGTGACGCTTCGATTAAACACACAAAATACCACTGTATATTGTCCGGAGAGACCTGCACACCCACGCACATGAAAATTGTGGAAGTACAGACGGGTGAACAGTGCACTGTAATTTCAGAACGTGGGATGAGAGCAAGAAAAATAAATAAGGGGGAGGGCGTGGTAGTGTGGCTCTGTCTGTACAATATTTTCTAAAAAGTCTACAGCAAGTAGGGCCAAGTGTTAACATTGGTGGGTGTACAGGTGTCCACCGTACTCTGCACTTTTCTCCACATAAACATGTTTTCGTTGAACATTGAAAAACATACTATATATTTCATACCGTGTGCAGGGTGAGATTGATATGTTTGCATGTATAATGTGCACAAGATAAATACTTAGGGCTTGTGTCCAGTTTTTCTTATGGAATCTATTGATTTTTACCTCCCTCGCGTTCAGGAAAGGCAGGTTTTGGTCGGTATTTCAGCTCCTCTGTAATCTGTTTGAATTGCGGTCAATGCGACCAGAATTCACCTGCTGCCTCTGACAGTGCATTTCTCAGATGTGGAGACTTCTAAGTTGTCCTGGAAATTACCTAGTGGAAGCATTTTAAATTTTATAAAGAAAGGGTTTTATAGTATGCCTTTCTGACTTTGGGTGGGTGTTTCAAATAATGCCTTTTTCTGCAAATAAAATTTGTGGAAACAAATACAGCATAAGGTCAGCTCACTGACATACGGTAGCCAGCATCCCTCTGAGGTAAAGGGTCCCCGTCCTTGTGCGCGGTTTCCTCCTGGCGTGGGTGCTGCCACCTCGTGGGCATTGCAGGGACAACACTGACACCTGATGCTTGAAAGATCTGACTTCCACTCGCTTGACACAAGCTGTCAAACCTGCCGTGATGCGTGTGCCAGGGCAGCTGTGGGCGAGGAGAGCTGCCCCCTCTCTCGGAACTGCCCGTCTTAGGAAGCAGCTCTGTGTGCAGCCCAGTGGTCCGCGGGCCCACCCCACGCGGGCCCACCCCACGCGCGCGCCAGGCCTGCGCTCACGTCCCGGGTGCACACGTGGGCTCGGTGCCATCAGGCCGCGCCGCTGGGTCACGGGTGGGGGCGCGGGGCGACCTCGGGAACGCGCTGCGGCCGCGCGATCCCACAGGCCGTGCTCTCTCTCGGCAGCCTCCACTTCATCGTGTTCGACACGGAGCTGGCTCACGACATCCTGAAGGTGTGGGACGGCCCCGTGGACAGCGACGTGCTGCTGAAGGAGTGGAGCGGCTCCGCGCTGCCCGGCGACATCCACAGCACCTTCAGCTCGCTCACGCTGCAGTTCGACAGCGACTTCTTCATCAGCAAGTCGGGCTTTTCCATCCAGTTCTCAAGTAAGTGGCGCCCGTGTGCCCGGGGGGGACGCGCGCTCCGGCCCCCCCGCAGGGCTGTCGCCTGTGTCAGCAGGACCTCAGCTCCCAGGAGCGCGTGGACGGAATGCGTTTTCTCGGGCAGTTGCTTTACTGCTCCGCGATGGGCCACAGATCCCCTTAGTTACATGGAAAGAGATCCCTGCAAAGGCTTAATCCGCTGACCTTCAGCCCCGGTCAGATGCGGGTCTCTACCCGAGCAGCAGTTTCTCTCGGGGGCTGCCCCACACCTGGCACCCACCCGGCTGCCCAGTCTCCTGGCTTGACCATGGATGGAGTCGGGGTGCTACCAGCTGCTCATCCCAGGGCCTCCCTCCACGGGCGCCTCCTGCTTAGAAGTGTCTGCAGTCTACCCTCCTCGGGGCCAGGGTTTCGGGGACTCAGTGTGACATAATGGTTTCTGCGGGATCGCCGGTGCGACACCACACTGGCACGTGTCGCCTGTCATGTCCTGGGGGTCGTTCCCATGGTGGCTGTGCAGCCCGTTTGTAATGAACGGTTCCCGGGAAGGAGGGGGTGGAGATGTTTCGGGGAGTCCGCACATGGACTGCACTTCCGTTTCCACCATCTAGACGCCTCACATAACTCGGGAGCACGGGGTCAGCCGTCCGTGTATAACAAGTGGAATTTGCACATAAACACGTTCCAACCCCGTTTATGTCCCGGTAGGTCCCCGGTGAGCCATATTTAGGATTTACATAAGAAAATGAGCTTAGGTCAATTTTATGCTTTAAAAGGTTGCTAATAAAACTGAGGTTATGGTCTGCCCAGTTTCTCACCTCTGCTTTCACTGCACTCAGAGCAGCAGTTTGCAAACATGTGCTCGTGGGATCGTATCCTGTGAGTGGTAAAATGTTCTCTGGTCTACAGCAAAATTAGCAAGGTGTTTGCCACAGCTCACCTGCCGTGGGGAAAATGTCTTTTATTCCACAACTATATCATTTTTGCTATGTTTTGTGAGATAAAAATGTCCTCTGTCTCCGGAAACGGCGGTGAGGGCCGATGGCAGGCGTGTGATGTGCTGCCCTCATTTGGCAAAACAGAAAGTGGGTGACAAGTGAGGTGAGGGTGTGTTCACGTTCCTCTCCTTCCTGCTCTATACGCGCCTGGCCTTTTTGTTAAATTAAACTTTATTTTCTTAGAGCAGTTTTGGGTTCAGAGCAAAACTGAGAGGAAGGCACAGAGATTTCCCACACACATCCTGACCCCCCCCAACACACACACACGGCCGCCCTGCTGTCAACAGCCTCCCAGATGGGACATTTGTGACAACTGATGAGCCTGCCCTGACACGTCATCACCCAGAGGCCACAGTTCACCTCAGGTCACAGTGTTGCTCCTTCAGTGGGTTTGGACAGATGTGTAATGACCTGTACCATCATCACAGTGTCACACGGAGGAGTCTGACTGCCCTAAACGTCCCTGTGCGCCCCGTGTTCACCCCTCCCGCACTCATTACAACCACTGATCTGTCATTGTCCCCATAGTTGTGCCTTTCCCAGAATGTCAGAGTTGGGATCACATAGTGTGCAGCCTTTTCGGATTGGCTTCTGTCACTTAGTCATATGCATTTAAGGTTCTTCCTTGTCTTTTCATGGCCTGATAGCTCATTTTCTTTTAACTGAATAACACTCCATGTCTGGATGGACCACAGTTCATTATCTGTCCCCCGTTGAAGGACACCTTGGTGACCCTCCATGACGACTAAAGCTGCTGTAACACCGTGGGCAGGTCTGTGTGTGGACGTCGTTTTCAGCCCCTTTGGGTGAATTACAAGGACCCTGACTGCTGGGTCACATATTAAGAGGATGTTCACTTTTGCTCCTGCCTTTTTAAAACTCTTCCCGTTTTCAACTTCTTGTGGGACCCAGCAACCACTTATTTTTCTATATTCCGTCATGATTCTCTTTTAAAAAGACATCTTCCTAGTTTGAATTTTTTAAAAAGACTTTATTATAGTTATTTGAGTATTTGAGACCACAGACATTTTACCCACCTCATATAATTATTCTATCAATATTTAGAAAGTAATAAACGTGAACACACCCTTAATTTCTCTACACAAACTTGCTTAATCTTTTCACTGGTTTTTTTTTTTCAAGTGTTTTAGATTGAACCATATGAAATTGTCCTTTGTGTAGATAAAAACAATCGACTGTTGGCAATTTCACGTGGTTCTCTGTAACACTTGAATACGACCCTCCCCTCCCCGTAACTGATGCATAACCCCTCCAGCCTGGTGTAGACGGTGGGGAGCAGAGCGTTAGGGGTGAAAATGGAATGGCGACTCCAGGTGATTTGTTTGTTTGTTTGTTTGTTTGTTTGTTTGTTTGTTTGTTTTTATGAATGAGTTTCTGCAAGGTTTCTTTAAAACTCTTAAAGAAAAAGATATAAAATTCTGCTTGTCATAATTTAGAAAAACTTGGCCTGGACAGTGATCAGGAAATTGGCTTTCTCTCTTGAGCTCTAAGGATTTGAGACTGACCTTCTCTCTCTGTCCTCATTGCTTTATTTGCCCCAATTTCTAAGGACCTTTCCATTTGCAAAACTCTACACTCTGTCTCCTGTTTTCCCGTTGCATTTTTAGGTCTCCCCTTCTCCTCCCCTTAATCTTCCCTGTGGCCCCATTGGGGAACCTGTATGGACTATGTCCTCGACCCTCTAGGGGGCTTCATCCAGTGGGGAGCTCGACAGGAGAAGAGGGGTTCAGGGTGGACAGTGGGGTCAGGGCACTGATGTCGGCTTCCCTGGGTGGGCTGTGTCCCTCCAGCAAAACCCACTGTTTTTCTCAAGAGGGGATGTCCCTACATGTCCCTTGCCAGCTTCCTGTAACCAACTCCGTAACCACGGGACTCTCTACACCCCAGCTTTATGAAAACACCCTCTCAAATAATCCTACTGGAGCTGTGCCATCAGTTTCATGTTGGATTCTAAATACCACAGTTACACACACACACACACACACACACACACACACACACACACACACACGCGCGCGCACACACACGCGCCATGGCCAAGAATGGCCTCCGCTCTCAGGTATTTAAAACAAACCGCACCTCCTTTTCCTACGTGAAATCAGGCCCCTTTGCAGCTCCCACGCGTCATGCAGACGAGGCCGGGGCAGTGTACCCGGGAAGCCCCGCCCCGTTTCGGCTCTGGGGGGACCCAGGGCGGGTCCTGTGTGGGGAGCACCGGGGGACCCTGCCCCTCCTTTGGCTGCTCACAGCCTGCACCCCTGGCCCCCCGCATGCTTCTCCCCAGCTGGCTGCCATGGCTCCGGGCCCTGGTCGTCTCAAAGGACCACAGGCCTGGACGCTAGGCCTTCCCTGCCATGTCCAAGGCCAAGACCCTGTAGGAGCGACACAGTGAGGTCGGCCACTCCGGGGACACTCTCAGGCAGGGACCCGGATACAAATGTGACCCTTCCATCCAGGTAACTGACCTGTCACAGGTAGCCCAGGACGTTTCTGATTTTAGTAAAGACGTTTCCTGAAACCCCTCAGTCCTGGTTATATAACAGACGCATGTATGTCCGGGAACCCCCTTCAGCACCAGGAAACTGGGAGGTCTGGCCAGCCCGCCCACCTGCACACGCGACCAGCAGGCCACTCTCCACGCCTGCGGTTTCGGGAGCCATCCTGCCCTCGGGGGGACCCCGGCTCTGCGTGTAAATCAAGCTCGAGTCCTTCCAAACAAAGGCCCGCATCGCCTCTAAAAGGGCAAATGCCTGTCCCTCCAGGTCGGGAAGCCTCGCTGCTCTTCTGTGGGCGTGAGGAGGGGCGGCCACTTCTGGGTCTTTATGATCCCGGGACACAAAAAGAGGCACTTGGTGTATAAATTAGATCGTGCTGCCTGCTTTTCATAAACCAAGGTCACGTTAGAATTTGAGGTATTAGCACCATTCTGTGGTTTCAGAATAAAATTTAAAATAATGGAACTGAAAGGAAACATTTTCCTCACACAACTGATACTTCAAGTAAGACAGACCAGTGCTGCAGAGCAGAAATGACACTTATTCAATAGTATCTAATGAGCGTTTTCTTGGTGAGCCATTTTAACAGGGTAGCATGCCAATAGTGCGGGAGCCAAGCAATTATTGGAGGAGAAATTCTTATTTGAACATTTGTTTTCTTACAGACGTTTGAATGTTCAGATTTTTCTCAATCAGTGGAAAGTCTGAGAATTTAACATCAGTGTCACTCCAGTCTCACCCACATAACCCCCGTATTAGCTCGTGACTACTTCATTTTATTGACTGTTTCCCTGGCCTTCAGACAAATTCTTCGCCTGCTTTCCGTCTTGGGCCTTGTGATCCCGATGGCCCCTCTGTTTCCGTCCCTTTTGCTGCAGCCCATCTTTCCCCCTGACGGCGGAGGCGGGAGGCCACTGGGGCCGCCCCTCCTCTCTGTCAGGAGCCCTGAGCTTTACCGTCAGCCTCCCGAGACCTCTCCCCTGAGCGCCCAGCGGCCTGTTCGAAAACGCTCTGTTTGGAGGTGGACAAACACGCCTGGCGACTTAACACACGGAACTCCGCCGCACGTCCATTCACGCTTTACAATCCTGGTTTTCTTCGTCTTTCCCATCTTGGTAAATGTCGGCTGCATTCTGCCAGCTGCCCAGGAGAAAGCCTTTGAATGTGCTTTTTACGAATCTGTTTTTCTCACACCCCACGTGAATTTCAGCAACAAGTTCGCAGGGTCCATGTTCAAAACAGATCCAAAATCCAACCGGTCCCTCTCCTGAAGCCCCCCACCACGCTGTCAGTCATTTCAGGGTGGCAGCAGCCACCGTGGGTCCATCTGCTGACGCTGCCCATTTGCTGTCACCTGAGCTGAGAGAGGAACCACAGTGACTTAAGCAGGCCACCCGGACGGTGCCTCATTCCGCTCAGAACCCTGCACCATCTTCTCGCCTCAGCCAGGGACATTTCTGATTTGCCCCATTGTCAAAAATATAGGCTA